TCGAACCGCTGTTGCTCAGAGCTCAAACTCTTGAGCGAGCTCTTAACCAACTGAGCCACTCGGCCGGCCCCTATCGCTTCCATTTTAAAGATAAATAACTTGAGGGTTTGTGAGGTTAAATATTTTGCCCCAGATTGTATCACAAATATGAAGCAAAGCCATAATTTGAACCTAGGTCAGTTCGACTCCAAAAAGTATATTCTTTTGATTACATTATGTTGTGTATAGACAGTGTAGGTGTTTAAAATAGAAGGAGACCTAAAGAATACTGCATTTTGCCAAGAAGGGTCACGGAAGAAGGGGTAACATTTTAGTTGGGCTTTGGAGGATAAATAGGAGCTTGCTAGGAAGCTAGTGATGAAAATAAGAGGAGGAATGGCCATTTCAAGAACAGCAAGAACAGAGGTACAGTCTTAGGACTGTAGTTAATGTCTTAGGTTTTGGAGACAGATAGACCTGGTTCAAATCCTATCTCTGCCACTTCTTTGTGGCAAGTTATTGAACCTCTCTGAAATGGGAATAATAATGGAAATTAGTAATAATCAGGGCGGCAGATGTAGGTTTTGTGTACCCTGAAGCTTATACGTTTTGGTGGGACCTATTTAAGATAAAAGACGATATTTATTTTGTAAATTTTAGACAAGCATCTGAGTGTGTACTTTGAAAAGGGTTTGTGACTGTGAAGCCTTAAAGCTTAATAACTTAAAGCTTAAATAACTTAAATAACTTAAAGCTTTATAACTATCTTTGTAAGAGGATGGTTGTGATAATTAATTGAGGTAGATCTTAAGTAGATGACCCACTGCTTATAGATAGTACTCAATAATTGTTAACTATTATTGTTTTAAGAGAGGTGAGTGTTTCAGTGTAGCTAAAGATGGGGGTGGGGGGTGGTTACCTCAAGATAAGGCTGGAAAGATAAGCTGAAGACAAACTGGAGGTGCAGTATGAGCCATGGGAATTTGTGAGCAGGAGTGACTTGGTCAGCTCTGATTTGCTGATGAGGATAATTCTGGCCATCGTGTGGATGATAGCTCCTGGTAGAAAGAATCAAGGCAGGGAGGCTGGCCTCAGCCCTGCCTGCTGTCCCCAGTCCCTACCACAGCAGGTGTCCTGGGGTAAATGCTATGCTTAGTCGACAGCTATTCTGTGTTTTAATATACTTAATAATATCAGTACTCATCAATAACCATATGTGATCGATTGCTTTACTATATTTTTATTAAATTTATTTTTTGTAAATGGAAACTTAACTACCCAAGGAAATATTATAGTCCTTCGTAAACATCTTTTTTTTAAACAGCATTTGAGCATGAGGAGTTGTAAAATAATGTTTTGTTAGTTAAAAAAAAAGTATGTGTGTGTGTGTGTGTGTGTGTGTGTGTGTGTGTGTGTATGTGTGTGGAGAGAGAGAGAGAAAGAGAGAGAGAAAGGGTCAGGTTAGAATTTTTGTCACTTCTATGTCAGGGGTCACATTAATTTTTGTTCTACGGAAGCAGTCTTTTAGAACAAGCTTTTATTGTATTGACCTGTAGTGGTATAGAAATATAAATATGA